CTCCCGCAGCCAGGCACCAGCGTCGTGCCCCATCCTCTCCCCTTGCCGCGCCCCGTCCGGCTGCACCTGCGCGGCGCCCTCGGGACTCAGATCCGCAGGCCGTCAGCCTGGCCACCGCCATGGTGAGGCGGCGCGGAGCGGCCCGGCCCGCCGCGGCCCGGCTCTCCAAACCGCAGCAGCCGCGGGTTAGCGCCGAGGCTCCGCGACCCCGGCTCCGCAAGGAGGAGCCCGCGGCGGACACGGCTTCCCCCGAGCTGGGCTGGCGCCCGCGCCCTTCCCCTTCCCCGCCCCAAGGGCCCCGCACTCACGCAGTGGCGGGCGGGCTGCAGGCAGGCGAGCGCGGCGGCAGGAAGCGACGGAGGAAGCTGGGCCGCAGCCAGGGCCGCGCCGCTCCGCTCCGCCCGGCGCGGCCCGCCCCCGGCCTTGCCGCGCCTCTCCCCTCCCCAGCCCGAGCTGTTGCCCGGGCCCCAGCTCCCGGCTCCCCGCGGGCCCCGGAGCTGTCGCGGAGAGGGTGGCCTGGCTCGGGGAGTGGTGCCGGTTTGAGAGCAGAATGGGTCTCCCGGGTAGGAAGGGCGGTGGGGAAGTGGAGCTGCCGGTCGGGTCGGAGCGTATCTGAGCCCACCGAGAGGCAACAGGTCGCGGCAGGTCTGGCTGCGGGGCACCTTAGAAGATCAATGGAAAGAAGGGAAGGGGTGTAGAGGGGTTACCTTAGCACTGGAATTTGGTGAGATCTTGCTGAAAGATCTGGACACGCTGCACTGCATTTGTGTATGTGGGGAGCAAGCTAACAGGTTTGCATGTTTGCAAGGGTGTGGATAGTCATCCAGAGGTTATACAGAAGGGTCTAGGCTCTGCGTAGGTTTTCAAGACAGCCACTGTGGGAGTGACAGTAGGTTTTCAAGACAGCCACTGTGGGAGGGACAGGAGGGTGATTGGAATCAAAGGTGCAAATCCTAGCTGAGGGGCAGGCAGAGTAAAAGGTGTCCAGTGCACAAGGGAGAAGCTAGAAGAAACTGGTATTCAGATTAAACTCAGCATGTTGGCTAGACAGCAAGGAGGGCTATTTGGAAGAAATCAAATCTGAATTAAGGACTAAAAAAATAGTAGTTTTATTGGAATAAGATTAACCAGTGATAAGAAATAGGGAAGAAATGGGGAAAGGGTGAAGTTGCAGTGGCACCCCTCAAAAATCAAGGATGGAGAACCTCTAGTGTGTCTGCTGATAAATAAGATGAAAGAATGGGAAGGGAAACATGTAGAAGTCATTGAACCAAGCAAAAACAGGATGTCAAGAAGTGTACTGTTGAAAGTGGCTGACAGATTAAGCGGGGTTTGATTTAGGTAGGAGGAATTCTTCAGGCACTTCAATAACAGTGGTGACAGCCGAGCACAAAGATCTGCAAGCACACTGCAGACCATGTAACAAGGAGCCCCACACTTGAGTTCATGGAATCCGTATATGAAAGAGAAAGAATGTGGGACAATAATCTGAAACAAATTGGATCAATAAGTGGGTCCTTCCTTCTCCAGATGGGAGAGATTAGAGAATTATTGTACTGCAAGAACAATAACTAGATTAAAAGGTTAAAGAGAAAGAAGGTGGTTGTTGTTTACTACATAAAATACACAGTAAGTTATACTTGAAAATTTGTAGAGGTAATGTATGCTATCCATACCTTGTTAAAAATGGAAAATGCATAAATCTTCAACTCATATATAGATATACTGCCTCAAAGAGACAATTTGCAAATGCCTGTCAAGGCAGCCATATGGAGAGGCTGGCAGAAGGGCAGCTAGTGAACCAGTTATATGTGCCAAGTTCAATTTGTCACACTTTACAGTACTGAGAAATATTTTGTTCTCGTTTTGAGAAGGAAAACTCTCATTAGTACAGATTCAACAATATTCTCCTCAAAATTCATATTTTATAAAGAAAATATCCAGCGTGTCTGCCCTTATATATATACAGCTGGTGTATAATGTATCTACAAGGATATGTAGTAAATACAGAGTACTGATATAAATAAATGCTGAACAGAGGGACCCTCATTTAAACTTTAAAAATGTCTTGGCCATCAGTCCTTGGGGCTGAACGACTAAGAGCTTTCAATGCAAAGGCATATTGAAACTAGGGGTGAACTTACTACCCTTGGGCCACAGCCCCTGTGTCTGCAAGGGGCACTGGCAAGTGTGACAGTGGTGCAGGCAAGTGCTGGTATCACCTCTTCTCCCCAGGTGTAACTCTGAGGGGTTTTTTTGATTACTTTGAGTGAGTTTGGCATCAAAATTCCTTGTCCCTGTTCAGTCGCCAAGCCTTTGGGACTTCAAGGCTTCTCAGCAGCCTGACTTGGTTGTGGAAGTCACCCTGCCCAGGCAAAGATCAGCTTTTCATAGCTCTGGTGAAATCCAGGCCTTCCCTGAACCAGGGGGATGCCCTGCTGGCCACACGTAATCATAGACTCCTAGAATGCTTTGGGTAGAAAGGGAAATTCAAAGATCATCTAGTCCAACTCCCAAGCAATGAGCAGGGACATCTTCAACTAGACCAAACTGCCCAGAACCACATCTAGTCTGGCCTTGAGTGTCTCCAGGAATGGTGCATCCACCACCTCTGGGCAACCTGTACCAGTGTTTTACCACCCTCACTGTAAAGAATTTCTTCCACACATCCAGCCTGAATATCCCCTCTTTTAGATTAAACCAATACAGAATCACAGAATAGTTAGGGTTGGAAAGGACCTTAAGATCATCTCATTCCACCACCCCCCACCATGGGCAGGGACACGTCACAGTAAACCATGTCACCCAAGGCTCTGTCCAACCTGGCCTTAAACACCCTCAGGGAGGGAGCATTCACAGCTTCCCTGGGCAACCCATTCCAGTGCCTCACCACCCTTACAGTAAAGAACTTCTATATCCAATCTAAACTTCCCCTGTTTAAGTTTTAACCCATTACCCCTTGTCCTATCACTACAGTCCCTAATGAGGAGTCCATCCCCAGCATCCTTACAGGCCCCCTTCAGATACTGGAAGGCTGCTATGAGGTCTCCACGCAGCCTTCTCCAGGCTGAACAGCTCCAACTTTCTCAGCCTATCTTCATATGGGAGGTGCTCCAGTCCCCTGATCATCCTCGTGGCCCTCCTCTGGACTTGTTCCAACAGTTCCATGTCCTTTTTATGTTGAGGACACCAGAACTGCACACAATACTCCAAGTGAGGTCTCATGAGAGCAGAGTAGAGGGGCAGGATCACCTCCTTCCACCTGCTGGTCACACTCCTTTTGATGCAGCTCAGGATACGGTTGGCTTTCTGGGCTGCAAGCACACACTGCTGGCTCATGTTCATTTTCTCATCGACCAGCACCCCCAAGTCCTTCTCCACAGGGCTGCTCTGAATCTCTTCTCCGCCCAGCCTGTAGCTGTGTCTGGGATTGCTCCAACCCAGGTGTAGGACCTTGCACTTGTCATGGTTAAACTTCATGAGGTTGGCATCAGCCCAGCTCACAAGCGTCTCAAGGTCCCTCTGGATGGCATTCCTTCCCTCCAGCGTATCAACAGAACCACACAGCTTGGTGTCATCGGCAAACTTGCTGAGGGCGCACTCAATCCCACTGTCCATGTCAGCGACAAAGATGTTAAACAAGACCGGTCCCAACACCGATCCCTGAGGGACACCACTTGTTACTGGTCTCCAGCTGGACACTGAGCCATTGACCACAACTCTCTGTGTGCGGCCATCCAGCCAGTTCTTTATCCACCGAGTGGTCCACTCATCAAATTGATGTCTCTCCAATTTAGAGACAAGGATGTCGTGTGGGACAGTGTTGAACGCTTTACACAAGTCCAGGTAGATGACATCAACTGCTCTACCCCTGTGCATCAGTTCTGTAGCCCCATCATAGAAGGCCACCAAATTGGTCAGGCAGGATTTCCCCTGAGTGAAGCCATGCTGGCTGTCACCAAGCACCTTGTTGTTTTTCATGTGCCTTAGCCTGCCTTCCAGGAGAATCTGCTCCAAGATTTTGCCAGGCACAGAGGTGAGACTGACTGGTCTGTAATTCCCTGGGTCATCCATTTTCCCCTTCTTGAAAATGGGTGTTATATTTCCCTTTTCCAGTTGTCGGGAACTTTACCTGACTGCCACGAGTTTTCAAATATGATGGCCAGTGGCTTAGCAACTTCATTTGCCAGCTCCTTCAGGACCCGCGGGTGGATTTCATAAGGTCCCATGGACTTGTGCACGTTTAGGTTCTTAAGATGGTCTCAAACCAGATCCTCTCTAGCCCTTCCCTGTTGGTAAGCACAAGGTCAAGCATGGCACCTCTCCTTGTCGGCTCCTCTTCTACTTGCAAAAGGAAGTTGTCTTCCACACCCTCATCCTATCTCAACTGGCCCTGCAAAAGTCTCTCCCCATCTTCTTTCACAGGCCTCTTTAAGTACTGAAAGATGCAGTCTCTTCCAGGCTAAACAAGCCCAGCTCTCTAAACTATTCCTCATAGGTGAGGTGCTCCATTCCTCTCACCATTTCTGTGACCCTTCTGTGGACCAACAGGTCCATGTCTTTCCTGTAGTGAGGACTTTAGAGCTGCATGCAGTACTCTAGGTGGGGAACCACCAGAGCAGATCTGCCCTCTTCGGGGCAGGATCACCTCCTTTGACCTGCTGGCCACGCTGCTTTGGATGCAGCCCAGCACGACTGGCGATTGTATGCCAAGGTGTAAAGTTATCAGATGCAAGCGTGGAAATATTTTATCAACTGCAAGTCATAAATTGTCATAAATCTGAGAGACTCACAAGAAGAAGAAGGAGGAAGGAAAAAAGGAAGAAAGGGGGGAAAAAAACAAAACAGAAAAAAACCGCAAACGCCAAACGAGTTGTTTTCAGCCCCAAAATGTCCCAGCGTCGGAAGAAAGTCTCCGAGTCCCCGCCTCTGAGGGGAAGGCGGTGCCGCCTGGGGAGTCGTCTCCTCGCCGCCGGCGGGGCGGCCGGGCGGGCGCCATTTTGGGAGGCGGGCAGATGGGGCTGAGGGGCTGGTGGGGGGCAGCGTGGGGCTTGCGGGTGGCAAGCGGCGGCTGGTGGCCGGCGGCAGCGCCCGGTGAGGCGGGGAGCGGAGCGGCGGCTGGGCCTCTCCGGAGGCGGCCGGCTGGGGAGCCCCTTGTAAAGATGTTAAACACACGGGGCGATGGGCTTCCTTCCTCGAGAGGCCGGGGGAGCGGGCGCCTGCGGTGGTCTGACGGGCTGCGCTTCTCCAGCAGGTCCCGGAGCGGCGGGTGCCACCAGCCGCAGGCTGTGCGCCGGAGGAGCGCCGAGCCTGTCTTACCAACAGCTCAAGGACTTGAAGAAGACCAGCGTTCTCCACATAGACGTGCGGGAGAGATGGGAGATCGATAGATCTGGGAAAATCCCGGCGTCTATCAACATACCGCGTGAGTTACTAGCACTGCTACACGGAGACATTGGGTGTTGTCAACATACTGTATAAGTTATTAACATTGCTATGGGGATGTTGGGTGTTCCCCTTTGCTTGTTGATCAAGGTGGTGGTGACTGAGCAAAGGGGAGCTATGCTAGACAGTTGCTAGTATGTTGTGATGCTAAACTTTTCCTCCAGAGGAATTAGAACCTTACAGTGTAAGCTTGCCTGTGGATGGAGAATAAAGGAAGCTTTTCTTTCCTATGTTTCCCAGTGGGTGAATTAGTGGAAGCTCTACAAATGGACCCAACGGAGTTCAAGGAGCGGTACAATCAAAAGATGCCATCCAAGTCGGACCCTGTGGTTTTCTCCTGTTTGGCAGGAACCAGAAGTAAACAAGCACTTGGGTTTGCCATGTCTCTGGGTTTCAGCAGGTATGGCTTCTGTAAGGATGACATTAATGCGGCCTTCCCCCATGAAGCGGAATGTTTACCCTTGCCCGCTCAGCTTCCTGTGGGCAAGGGTAAAACCTTAAATGTGGAGTATAAACAGAACTACTAGTGTTTGAGTTAGACACTGCCTCTTGCTTCTGCTTGAAAGACACCATTGGGCATTCCAGGAAAGTGAAGTGTGTCACCTTGCGAAAAAAAACCCTTGGCATGTGCCATGGGTGGTGCAGTCTCCTGCAAGACCATGCTGCCAGTGACGACTCTCTCACTAAGATGGTGATCCATTACACAGCTTCATAAGCACTAGCCCTGAGATGCAGGATGATTGGAAAGGTGGAGAATTGCTCGCTTTGGTAGAAGTATGATCCTAATTTATGAAACCACACGGTGTGGTAAATTGCAGTTTTACTTGTATGGTTCACTGTTGACAAAGAGTACATGTTCATTTTCAGTAAAGCATGGGATTGTTTGCCAGGAGTAATGCCATGAAGGCAATGGCTAAAAAGAGAATGAGATTGACAGGGAGTGAAAGCAAAAACAATGTTTGGTTGGCAGAACTGTTAAGCCCGTGCCAGAAGGTGGCTCGCTGAAGACTGCAGATAAAATTTAGAAAACTGTTTGTTTGCTCATGTTTTCACTGTGCTGCAGTCTATGAACTGGAATATCCTTGCTAATGCTAGTAAAAAATACGTAATCGTGTTCTTATTTTGTAGATACGTTGTTCGTTGTTTTAATAAGTGCAGACATCCTCCATTACCTGTTTTTCATGCTGCCTAATTGAAAGAATTGGTTTTGTGCAGACTTCCATTGGATCTGTAGAGCATGTAGGTTTGCAAGGAACTAAAGATCAGTGTGCTGGGTTTGTTTGATGACATCTGAAGTATTCAGCATAGCAGCGTGCAAATCTCCCACTGCATTGAGCCTGTTCTTTTTAAAAAATGAAGCGGCAAGCTGTTCCGTTGACCCGTCTGCTGCTGCTTGCTTGATGTTTGATGTCTAGCATTGTGCCAATTGGGAAAAAAAGTGTTAGAGAGCACACTGCATGGCAGCAGGCAGCATTAGAGTATAAGGAATGTTGATGTGTCTCATTGGAGCTAGGTGCAGGTGTACTTGATTGCAGAGAATTTCTGCAAGGTTTGGCTTTGTTTTGTTTTTTTCTCTGATTAGTTTTGGTTTGGGGTTGGATTTTTTTTTCCATGTCCTCTTAAATACTTTTCTCAAGAAGATTCCTTCTTAACATTGTATCTTTTGTATATTGTCAGAGTTCAGCAATATGCAGGTGGCTTTGAGGACTGGATAAAACATGAACCTCCAGAGACAAAATGAAGATAACTCCCTTACTTCATCAAGGCTTCAGGATGGTTTGTAGGTTTTGGCATTCAAGCTACATGTATTCCACTCCCAGAATACAGCCCACTCTTCTTTTCTTGTGTAAATGGACACTCAACTTCAAATAGCCATGCACGTTAGTTGCTTAGTTTAAATTATATTTAAAGACTGTGACATGAATAAAGAACATTGAATTTGTTCAACCTTTACTTTGAGCTATGTTTTTTGGTAAAAGTATGTCAAGAAAAGAGCTATTATGTTTACTAAGATTTTTGTATGATGTAGTTTATGGCTGTTTAAACTAATGATGATAGAATAAATAAGCTTAGCCTTCCCCACATAACTCTGTTTGGTGGTTTGTTTAGAGTAGCTGAACTGCAGATATTCTAATGGAACTGGGGTAACTTCCCTAAGCATGGATTTATTATACTTCATGTGTAGCTGGAGTTCTAAAATTGTTATCAAGGAGTACATGTAGAGTACAAATGTTTAGGTTTGTATTTACACAACTGTAAGGCCAAAACAGCACTACTGATCAGAAAACACAAACGGAAACTGACCTGATGCTAGAATATTTGTTGTTCAAAATGTTGATTCCTTATTTAGAAGTGTGTTTAATTTTTATATGCAGATCTGTTTCTGAGCACAAAATGCTGTAGCGTTCAGTCAACAACTTCTCTCAGCAGCTCAGTATCAAGTGAGAACTTGACTGTATTTGAAGTTATTAAAGAGAGGTAATAATTTTAGGCTGGAAAATTTAAGGAATCCAAGGAAGTTACTAAACCCCTGTTCTTCTTTTATGTACATTAATTTGCATGTCTTAAACTTTGAAAAACAAACCAACCTATCCCATCCCCACCTGTAAATATGCATAGTCATCGTTGTAAGGCTTTTTTTGTTTGCTTGGTTGTTATTTTCAATGCTGTTAGCATTTCAGGGGAACTAGCAAAGGTGAACTGCTTTGCCCTGTAGAAAATTGAAGTCCTAGCACAGAAATTCGGGACTCTGCAGGATGTCTGGAAGAAGGAATTAAAATTTCTGGTCCTGCTCTAACCAGTATTGCAGGCACGGTACACTTACCCTATGGCTCTTCCATTCTGACAGTGCAGTCTGTATGGTGAGGAGAGGACCTAAAAAATAAACCTTCTCAAGTTTAGAGAACAGAGAAGAAAAAGTAACTAATCTTAATAGAATTTTATTTGTAGTAGATCCAGCAGTCTCTGCAGTAATTTGTTTCCAGACAACTAGCTGGCCCAGCCAGCTGTGTTAGCTGTGCTGCTGGACAGCGTATCTTACAGGGATTTCTGTTCTCTCCAGTAATAATTAAAGACCATGTAATGTAGCTGTCGTAATAATGAGTGCATGTTTTTCAAAGTATTACTGTCTTTTTAGTGGTCATATTGCTACACTTTATTTTCAATCCATTAAAAAAAACCCAAACAAGAACCAGAATTTAGACCTAGTTCCAAAATAAATGCTTTAGTTTAACTGATGAATAGGAGTAAGATGAAATTAAAATGCCAGGATGATTAAGGGTGTTACTTTGTGGTCAATTACTCTGCACTATCTTACTCTGGAAAGGTCTTTTTCAGACTGCATCTGGAGGAGTAACAGATGCCAACAGTTTTTTTGGATTTAGCTAAATCCTATGATTTTGCCTGTTTACCATGACTTGAACTGTCAGTTCCACCAGCACTGTGGGCACATAGTCAAAGGGACAACCAAAGCTCACTGTTGGCTGTGTTGTGCTAGGACTCTCCAGGACTAATGATGTGTTTTGCTCTAGATCATTAAGGTCACACTGAAAATGTTTATCTAAATGTGTAATTAAGCATGCCTAGCTATACTGATTGAGACACCTGACTTCAGTGTGCAAATGAACAAAGCAAGGCAATCTCATCAACTACACGTGGTCAGAATTTAATCTAAGTGGCCAATACTGCTTTTTGTAGTTTATGTTAAAATTCGTTGGGAATACTTAGAACTACATAACCTCAAAGAATGAACAACAGTTATATTGGGTCACACCAAGATCTGTATAGCCCATTATTTTCTGTTTGGCAGCAACCAGTGCTAAGTATCTGAGGAAAACATAAAACAGGGTAAGTGTGCAGTGATACAATCCCCAGATTATTCTCATTTACTACTTTGAGTGCTCTGATACTTCCCTCAGGCTTTGCATGTCCTGGTACATTTGGGTATTTGTAAATTACCAATACAAACTCCTAGCATTCACAGCAGGTGGCACTGGGTGTAACAGGGTGCTGTGAAAAGTCTTTCCCTTTGTTGCTTCTCAGCTTGTCACATACTGTTTTCATGGCATGCTCCCCTTTCTTCTGTCACAAGTGATGAACAGTTGTCATCAGTCTTCACACTACTTAAGATTTTTGTAGACCTCAGCTATCCCTTCTGAGCTGAAGACTTGTGGATTTTTTAATAGGAAAGCCACTTTGTATCACTTATTTTCATAATTTGTATTAGTCTTGGTAGGTTTAGTTTTTATTAATCTTGGTAGGTTTTTGCAACGTGTTTCTCAAATTACTTGCATCTTGTTGAAGTCAGTGATCCTTTGTGTCTTACTATATATCCACATAAGGAAGATACAAAGATATATTTAACTTGCTTTTCAAACTATGGTTTTTGAGTTGTCTGATCCAGTTCAGTTTGCTTCCATTTAGATTTTTCCTCAGGTCTTTGGCATAGATGGCCTGTGTTTGCTTTGAGACTCCACTGTCACCTGTAACCATGTATCTCTGAATATTTTCAGCTGCCTCTCTTTTTAAAGATACACCTCATTTTTACACATTTCTCTCCTTTGAATGAAGCATGGTAACGGTAGTTTTTTTTTCTGTCTGGTTGGTAGCAAAGCTACTGAATTCACATCATCTCCCATTTCCTGTTCCAATTTATGTATTTCTTTTTATAACTATCCATCATCACTGGTAGTTCTTTTGACTGCGCTTTATATCCTTTCACTGTTTACACTGGAATCACACCTAGTAAAACTATCCTAACCTCCCCAGTAGATAAATTACTTCTATTTACCATCATGAAGTGGCTGAACTTTTAGCTCTGAGGTTTAGGTCACACAGCTAATTAAGGCGTGAAGTTATGTCCGCAAAGGTTCCTGAGCAGCAAGTGATTCAGAGAAAACTCCAGGAACAAACTTGCCAACAAAGTTTTCAAGCTGACAAGCAGGTATTCTTTATTGTGGCGCCGGGAGACAGCTCCTCCTAACGTGTGTCCCCGTATTGCTATACAAGCCATCCTTATATAGTCCCTGGGCATACATACATATTCATGAGGCTACCTATGGATTACGTCATTTTCCAGAGAGTTCTCCGCATGCGCACAGAATTGTGGTGGTGGTCTCTGAGGGTCGGTTGCTTCTTCCAACAATCTTCATCACTTCTGGCAGCCTTTGAAGCACGCGCAGTAGATGCTCATACCAGTTTAATTGGTTCGTTATCACCAGAGACATAATAATCCTCCTATCCTCCTACTTATCAGTTAGTTTAACTGTAGCCCATCCTGGACACCTGCGGTTCCCAGATACTCCTTATCCCTGTGTCCTGTTCTTCTAGACTGTTCTTCTTAAAACTAGGCCAACTGTAACGATGTATCTTGTGAGAATTCTCAGTATGTTCTCTAGCTGTACTATTTTTTTTTCTATGTATCATCCACCTCAATAATTTTCCATTGCTACTGTTACAAAGCCATCAAACTTAGTATTACTTGAAAGTGATTCTAAAGGTTTTTATATATTCCATTTTGTGATTTTGTGCCCCCTTGTCTCACAAGAAAACTTTTAGTCACTCCAGACACAATTCTTAATTAATTAATGGTGTGAAATCCCTGATTTCAAAACATTTGCTCTCAGCAGATTATGTGGTACTGTGAGAAGACTGAGAAGACTGATGTTTACCTAAAGAACAGTTCCCGTTAAAAAAACTCCACACAGCGGTCAAGTTGCATTGATTTATTTCTACTCCCCCAGTCCACATTACAAATAGCACATTTTAGACTTCAAGAAACAGAGGCAAATAGCCAAATTCCACTTCATCAATCAAGTGTCTATAAAAGATACGGATGAAATGACAACAAAAGTAGCAAAGACCAAGATGTTTGGGCTTGTTTGCCTCATGTTTTACAAAAATGACCTGAATAGAAATGAACGCTAGTAGCCAAAGGAGCTACATACAACCACACTTCAGTTATATTTTGCTGAATGACCAGCCAATTACAAAGACAGTTACTCACAAAAACTGTTGAGGTTTTTTTAAGGGGATGGTTTGTGGAACCAAGGTGCACCAGAGAGCAAGAGATTTTAAGAATTTCCCTCCAGGATTTCAGACCATTGACATATGTTGTTTCAGGGGAAAAAGAAAAAATAAATAAAAAAAAGAGAACCACGTGACTGCACTCTTATCATTCAGTTTTAATATTTTTGGTATTATTACTCAAAATGAAGTTGTACAGAACTTAATTAGAAACAAAGTTACCTAAAAATCAATAAATTTCATTTAGGCCAATTCCTGACTTCGGTGGGTATCTGCCTGAGTAAGGAACACAGGATACGGCCTTCTGCTTGAAGGAATCTTATTTTCTCCAGCACATAGTTAACCAAGGAATCCCAGTTCAGTTATTCTAAAAAGTTGCTCCTAACATCACAATTAAAATTAGCCAGTATGAAGCTCACCAAAAGCTTGAACCTCTTAAATAAACTCTAATGAACCACACAAATTCACACTAACAGTGAAGGCAGACTAACAGTGTTTGTCTCTTGTACGAAACAAAATCCATAAAAAATAGCAATCATACCCAGATTAGTACTTGATTGTGAACTATTCCAATTGTACTACACAGAACGCTTACTTGCAGAAAAAAAGTCATAGTATGTCGCGATTTTTAATTTGTAACACTTGAAATGTTTAAGAAAACTGCAGAATCACTATACATATTGCACTTCTCTGGTCAGCTGGGCTTCATGGCAAAAACACCCTCCAAGTACATCTACTGAGTAAAACAGCTTTCTTCTAATAAAAAAAAAAAAAGGAACTGAATTTTTCCTGCAGCTTTCATTAAAACTGTAACAATATTCTTTGCTGGCTTTGTTTCTGAAGGATTGCTGTGTTACTTGTTACTGAACCTACATTTATTGTTTGAAAAAATCAACAGAACTCAGGGTGATGAATAAATTTAACACACAGGGCACTATCTTCCTTCAGTCACAAACAAAATGAAGACAACACAAGTCATTAACACAGTTACACTTAGGCTTCAGGTTACTGTCACTTTAAAAATAGTTCACTTCCATGGCAAGTTAAATTTCCTCAAAGCAAACAAACCAAATAATGACCTACTTGTTTTGAGTGGATGGTGTTAACCTTTTGCAGCTTGGTTTAATGTTTGATTCCTTACACTGAAAAATCTTAGTACATCCGCTCCAGCGTCAGAGAAAATGATGCAGTTCTAGAGAAAAAAGCTTTCCAAATGCTTGACACAAACAAGCTATTTATTCTTCAAGTTCTTTGTCAAAGATGTTACTAAAACCTTCTGTCCATTTCATGAACACAGGAAAGATCCCAGGGTGTCTTGAGTCAAAGTGGTCCATAAAGAAATTCTTTGGAATGTCTTAAGATTGGCTATAGCTAGAGTTCTGGCTACCATTTGGACCCTGTTCTCCTTCACTGTTTGGAAGAAAAAAAACAAAAACATGTCTTCAAAAAGAAGCATCATATTACATTTTTGGTTTGTTTTGTTTTTTTAAATAATTAAAAATACAGTAATTTGAAAGTAGTAAAAAACTTTTGAAGGAAAATACTTCCAACATATACACAAATAGGTTAAGATATTCGGCTCTGTTTCATTAAAACCGCAAAGGTTATTCTCCACGTGCATAAATAACTTCAGTCTATTTATTTGAAGAATAACATCAATAAATCCCCACGCAGCTGCCTGCTGAATCCAGTTCTGAAGTCAGCATGTCAAAGTTCACATTACGTAAGCATGTGCACAGGAATTGGCATGTATGGATATTTAAGCAGTGATATTTAATCACAGTAATTAAATATGACATCAAGCAGGCCTAGTTCCAACAGATCCTGCCCAGCATGGAGCCTCACACTGCCATTCTTTATATTTCTAAGCTGTATTGATTATATTCTAATCACATTAATGCCCTCCATAAAACAATGTATTCTGCTTCTCACTAGTTCCTGAACAATTAGAATGGCAGTTTGTAATATAAAGGTCTGCACCATAAAAACATAACACTATACCTCAAATATCAACTCATTCTGGATATTCCAGTTTTTCCATGTGAAAGGCGTATTAAGGAAG